TCGCGAGACTTCGCTCCGCTCCGCGCTCCCCCGCCCTCTCCGCGGTACGCGCGGACCCCGGCCTAGAAGTGGCTGGGCTCGCTGAGAAGTCACCTACCCCATTCATGGGTCCGGCCTGCTGGTCCTCGCTACTTGCCTCCCTGGTTCCATCCCAGCCTCTGCGTCCATTCCATCCAACACCCGTGAATGCGAAGGGTTACACCCCAGGTGCGGGGCAATCGCCTCCCTCTCACCTGGCCGGCCCGCCGCGCATGCGCGTGCCTGGGGTCCTGGAGCCCAGGACTTCTGCAAGGACTCTGACCCCCTTAACAACAATCCTAGCGGCCAGTCCTCAGGTGCTAACTGCATGTTGAGTACTTTATCAGCTCCATTTGAGTCTTCAGTTTATCCTTTTAAAAAGTGTATGTTACCCTCGCAAAGGCTGCCGGCGTGGTGAGGTGAAGTTCCTGGCTATGGTCACAGCTGGGAAGTGGCAGCGCCGGCCTTCGAATCCAGTTATCCGTGTGATGGCCACAACAAAGCCACCTCCACGACAACCCCTAGCCTCTGTCCCTCTGCCTGTGGGTGCTGCAACTGAAACCCTTTCCTCACTTGTCCCAAAGCCAACCCAGGTGACCAGAGGCATCCCTACGCGGCCATTTGCGGTAATCCCAGGGGAGCCCATGACAATAAAGCGCTTCTCTCTCATTGCTTAAACTTCCTCAGGCTTTCCTGTTCAAGACCCTGTGTGACTGCATTTGATTTGTTGTCGCCTTATACATTTTGCTGATAGGAAGCAGATTAGAAACAGTGACATCAGCTATTGAACCAGAATGTACATGACTTTAGGAAGAAGACACATCCGCTTCTCAGGAAATCTTACCATGGTAAGTGTTTCTAAAGAGGAGCTAACATTTATTGAGGGCATATCAAAGTGGGTTATCAATATTCCAATTCTGTACATGAAACATAATATTCAGAGTAAGACAGAATTTGAACCTAAGTCTGAGTCCAGGGCCAGCACTGCCTTATGGGATACTTCTGTAAGCCAGCATGAACTTAGTTCTTCTTGGCCAGCTGCTGAAAATTAGGAGCCTTGAAGGTTCTAGTTTATCCTTTCAGCCTGCACCAAGGTCTGCCTGACACTCAGATCCATGTCAGCAAATGTGGACCACCCATCCTCCAAGCCTGTCCACTCTCCCTTGAAATAATAATCCTCTCTAGGCCAGAATGTCTATGGATCCCCCTGTATGAACCAACATTACCCAATCTAGTAGGTAGAAGAGGGGATGAAAAGGAGGAACCCCATTCAACATGCAGCTACAAAACGCAGAGGACTGTTCCAGGAGTCCACTTATGAACTTGTTTAGTTCTTTCAACAACCTTCAGTATTCTTCGAAGAAACAGAACCAATAAGAAATAGAAACAGACATAGCTATGTAAGGGGATTTATTACAGAGGCTTAGAAGTCCTCTGTGACATACTGTCTACAAGCTGAATAGCCAGGAAATTGGCTTCATAGCTCAGTTCAAGTACTCAGTCTTGAGAACCAGGGGAGTCACTGGTAGCTCAGTATGAAGCTGAAAGCTTGAGAAACCTGGGCTCTGCTAGTACAAGTCTCAGAGTCCAAAGACGAGAGCATCTGCGTTTCTAATGTTAGAGGGAAAGATTGGTGTCCTGACTCAGGAAGAGAGAGAAAATTCAATTTTCTTCTCTGCTTTTTGTTCTGTTCAGCTCCTAAACTGATTGAGGCAAGAGGTCTGTTCTTTCTTATTGATTCAAATGGCAAACTTTCCCAGAAATGCTCCACAGACATACCCAGAAATAAGGCATTAGCAGCTATCTGGGTATCCTTTACTCAGTCGAGTTGATGCCTAAAATTAACCACCAAAAATCCCTACAGGGAAGTTATGGTTATTTCCATTTCGAAAGTGAAAACTAGAGCCTAAAAGGTGAAAGAACTTGCTTAAGAGCCCATAGTTGGAAAGCGGCAGAGTTGGGGTTCCACTCAGGTCAGTTTGCAAATCCAAACACTGACTTTGGTGACCAACAAGGCTCTTCTCTACCTTCCACAAAGCTTATGGTTTTATAACATATAAAATGTAAAACTCCCCTGAAGTCAAGACTCCAGTCTAAGTTCTGTATGTTCCCCTTGGTGACTGTGCCTCAAGATTCCCATCTAACATAAGGGGATACATAGGCTGTTGGGTGGATTAACCAACTTAATATATCTGAGGCAGTCTATAAAAGTGCCTCCTGCAGATTAATCATTTGGTAAATTAGAGCTGCTAATACCATGGGTAAGTTCTCTGCGATAGGCTATTTGTTCCTCATCTCCCAATATAAACTACAAATCACATCGAAAGATGTACTCAGACTTGGAAATAAAATAGTTTCCAGCACACTGAAAACAACAACGCTTTGTAAAAGGACAAAATTGCCCCAGCAATTCCTCCTAATCACAGAAGACCACTCCCTCAAAGCTCTTGCGTCCTAGGTTCCTGGGATAGTACCAGCCTATTTTATAGAGCTCCCCTTATATAGGAAAACCTACCCATTTTTTTTTTAAAGATTTGACTCTGAAAGTTCCTTCATAAACAAGAACAAAAGCAGGGAAAAATTAACTTAACTGTGATTTCTTAAGAGAACTGTATGTAGCAAGAGATATGTATGTATGAGAGTTATTAACACCACAGTGATACCATGATTAGGAGAAAAGTTTTTTATAGGAACTGTAGCTTCACCCATCCCCAGGCCTTAGGATCTCAAATTCAGGTTTCAGTGACAAAGTCACAGCACATGTTCCTATCAACAGCAATGACTTGCTTAGGAAGTGATCCTTACAGGGAAGAGCAGGGCAGAGCTGGGCATAGCAAGATCCATGGGGGTATTATTTGACCAAAAATGGGGTGATTTAAATCTATGTACCCCTAAGGATTTAGAGTATGTGGTATAGTTTGAGTTTAAGGTATAAAATGCCTTTTGATCCAAGAGCGATACTATAAATGCCTACGAGATTTGTTTAATGCTCATTCATTCGATAAAAATGTATTAAGCACCTAAGTGCCAGGTCATGCATTAGTGGCTATGAGCAGTTATATTTTATCCTCTCGTCACACGAATGGCCTTGGAGAAGAGAAATTGTAATCAATTAATTAGACCAATAAGTATTGAAATGTCATGTGATAAGTAGAATGAAAGGGAAAAAAGAGCCAATGACCAGCCTGCAATGAATGCATGCAAGGGGCAGGAAAGAATTTGTTTGAAGTGCGCTCTGCATCAGAGCTGAATAGGCCAGCGGGAGAGGTGATCACATCTACAGAGCAGGGGAGACATACGCAGGGATGGCCCTTTGGAGGCACTTAAAGTCAGGTGTGCAGCCTGAACACACAGAGATACTGGAAAGGAGAGAACCAAGCCAAAGCAGAAGGGTGCTGTGGCTGAGCCACTGGTCCCCAGATGCCTACCCTTCCTACTGGTCAATCCAAGATCATAATAGGACCTTACCACCTCTGCCCACATGCTTCGTCAGGGATGAGCAGGCAGTCATAAACAGCTGTCACATCTATAGCTTATCTGTATTTGAAAAAATCTTCTAAGTCCCTGTGCCCCAGAATAGATATGAAGATGCAAATCTGCTTCCCTTCCAACTAGGTCAAGGAATATGATGCAGGCCCTGCCAGTCGGAGACGCCTCATGAGGCTGAATTCAGCAGGAGCCTGTGCTGTTGGTGTGACTGTGGCAGCTCTGGGGATGGCGGTCGCAGGGTCACACTCCCAGTGGAGAAGTGGCTCCATGCTGACGGCAGCAGCGGTTGCAGGAAGGGCAAGCTCTTGGCACTCAGAGCTTTAGGGCAGCAAAAACTGAGTGGTGGTTAGTTCATCTGGCAAAGTCTGCAGTGTGGTTTGGGGCATTTTTCCTAGAAGCTTACCCTCTAGTTCTCTTCTCCAGCCCTCCCAGTGATCCTAACATCTTCTACTGCACTCTCCTTTTTTCTTTAAAGTAGCTGGCATTTCCACTCAAGAATCCTGAAACCTCACAGGCCAGAGCCAATTAATAGGAGGGGGGAAGACATGGAGAGAGGTTTGCTAGAGGCAGTGGGGACGGAAATATTTGCTGGTGCCAGAGAGCACCAGCGAGCCAGCATACTATCCCTGCCTTATGTGGAACCTCTACTGCTCTCCGTGGCTTTGCACACAATTGCAGAGGGAGCCAGCTGTCAGACAGCGCCTGTATGGCAGAGAACCAAGCAGAAAAGCCAAAGGATCCTGGGTCCTTGATTGTATCTTCATGCTGCCGGAATGACTCCAGACCTACCAGGCCCTGGACATCCCACTCCCTGAACTAATGCATGTGGCTAAACCAACTTTAGCTAACTCCTGTTACTGCAGTCCAAACGTTCACACTGATGCAGGGAGGAAGGCAGCGGATCATGGGGAATAAGCATGCATGCTCCCTGCTTGTGCCTGGAGCTCAGATCCCATACAACCTTTACACCCATCCTTCCTGCCCATCAGTGCTACTCTGCTATGCCTTTCCTGGTTGCAAACCCTTCCTTTTAGAAAACACATCCTTCCTTGGCCCTCTCCTCACTTGACTATCTCTTGCATGGGCCTAAAGTGGTGTCTTACTTGCTTAACTCACACATCTTGTAAGTGGCAGAGCTGGAGGTCTGGAGGCCACCCAGATTCCAGGATTTGTACCACTAATTTTATTGCCATGTGCCATTAAATTAAAAAAAAAAAAGTATGCCCTTGAGCCAGAAAGGGGGAAAAAAAATCCTCAGTCCATCTGCATATTTGCTATCTGGACATGAATATGCTTTACTGTGAAATGAAATTCATGAGGCCCACTTCATAGAGTCTGGTAGTTGTTCGTGCCATCTTAGCAATTACTTCTGGCTACCCACCTCCTGAGTGCATGTGACACTGTACTTCTTGGTCTGGTCCATTTGGTTGACTAAGGCTGAGCTGGAGTGCATGGAAGGAATATGTGTCACTTCCCAGCCAAAGTATTTAATGCCACTGTGAGACTTATCAGAGTTCTGTCAGGCTGGCAGGGCGAAGAGCAATGCCTGAGGTGATGGTTGCTATATTGAGCATAGCTTCCACCCAATCTATCATGGCTATATTATGTGAATAAAGCATAAATCTTTGTGGTTTTAAGCCATTACATTTGGAGGTTGAGGGTTGTTGCATGCTCTACTCTACCCTGACTGACATAGTCACCTCCCCCCATAACCACAGGTTCTGCATTTATTTATTCAACCAAGGACTGAAATTTTTTTTAAAAGTTGC